ACACATGTAGTTGAATCAAGTAGTAAGTACAGTCCAAACATATTTGGCCCAAGGCTTTTGTCAAAATTGCCCTTAGTATAGTTGAAAGGTAAGGAAGCAAGCAACAACAATTTTGACAGGTATACGTACCACATATTGTTGGGGGGCAATGTTTACTTTCAATCTCATCAGCCAAACCAGTTAGTCGAATAGTGGGGTGCCTCAGGGCGGTTGTAATGACTCTCCAAGTGGGTATGGGGTCCACTTGTTTCACAAACTCATCAATGACACGAAACAAGCACTCTTCTGGATCCTTGTACTGCATATGAATTGCAGACACCCTGGATGGTGACAACTTGAGTACACGACCTAACAGCTCTGATTTAGTTTGGGCGTCCAGTATGTTTGCAACTATCTCTGGAACATCATCTTGCAGCAATCGTTTGTCTAGGAAGTCTGGTGTAGTACCTGCTGTAGGATAGCAAAGTATTGACCAATAAATAGGCTAAAGACTATAAGACAGGATCTCCTACCAGTCGCCATTCTTTGGGGTCTGTGGACGAGAGCAGCAGGCGGAAAGTTTGTCTCTAGAATGGGGTGGGGCTGGTCCGATCCGAACACGTAGAAGGGGGCGGGGCTCAATACACTTAACGACCAATCTGGGTATACACAGCAAATGCTACGGTCCATCATTAGTATTTTCAGACTCACTGTTATGATGTGTTGAAGATGTACGAGAACTGTTAGTGATATCCTTGAATTCGTCTGCAGGGAAAGGTTTTCAACAATGTGTGACTGAGTAGTACTACATAACGCTAGCCCACAGCACAATGATCTGCCTAGAAGAAGAAGTTTTAAGTCAACAGATGGCTGTTATAACAGACGCTCATTATGCTTATTTCCCCTCATAAGCAATTTGTGCTCTTCCCACAACCGCAGCAACAGAACCTGTTACAGTAGCTAAGTAGTAACTCCAGTGTGCATTCTCTGATGTGAGATCTCCTAACAGTATATAGCACATCCAAAAGCAGTTAAGAAAGGGCCTTTGTGAGGAGTTTTGTAAAGTAGTTTTCTATTTGCCATACCCACACAAGTATTGTACACCAGGGTTGGATGGTGGATACACACTTATGTGCTCGCCAAACCAGCAATTGTATATAAATTACCTCTGGTAGCTCTCAACTTTGTGCTTATGTCTTCAAAAGTCGGATCTTGAACTAGTATGAAGAGAAACTTCTCAAACGCTGCCTCTTCTGACTCGATTTTATCCTCCAACTTCTGTAGCAGTTCTCGACTACGCTCTAGTTGCATCACGGAAACGAGGGACGCTCTCTGTCGTGTCACTCTATCTATCAGGCCACTGCTGTAAAGTTGCACTGCCAGACCCCCTGGATCTGTTACTGCTGACTCCATCTCCTTCAGATGTTTGAGAAAGGAGAGATAGCCAGGGCGAGAACATGTCGAAGTACCAGCCATGTTTCTTTCCGTGGGGGACTAACCAGTACGCCCACAAGGAGGCGTGGTGTACGTGTGCAAGCTCAGCTCGTAAACAAACGGGCATTATACTTGCTGTACTGTTGGAAGAGTGATGGGGGTAGATCTAGATGCACCCAATCCCTGTCGTTTGGCCTTCTCCCAGAAGAGTATGGATGTTGATGCACAGAGGAAAATCCTGAATCGCAACCACCGAAGATTACGTCAGGATGTAGATATCGAGACCATTTACCCACCTCAACGAGCAAGGTCTACTGTCGGACCACGAGAAAGACATTCTACTCAACATTTACCACACAAGACAGTTCAAGATAGACAAACTGTACCAGTAGATAACCATGAAAGGCAATGGTGCATTGGATAAGTTTATAGATTGTCTGCGGAGGTCTAGTCGCGAGGCTAGCGGACACGAAGAGCTCGCAGACCTGTTGCAGCGAGATGTTGATCGAGCTAGAGACAGTCATGATCTCGACAAGTGGCTGCGGATACCCGCCCCTCGTTTATCAACGATTAAATGCTGAATCTCAATTATTTATGCCATGTTTGAAATCCCATGGCATTTGGGCATCAACTCAGCAGTGCTTAAAGTTTTGAACATTCAAAGTAGAAGTTGTGACAGAAAATGCTTTGAGAGTCTGTAAGCTGAGCGTATACAAAGGTTCCGGTTTACCACATGAACTACGATGACATGTGTATAGCTAGTAGATCACTATACCTCTTACTGATAGCTCAGGTTTAATTTTCACAAGCTCTTTGCATTGTCAAAAATATCTTGCATTCTTTCATTATAGTCCTTAAAATCACAAAACAATGTTAACTTCACCTCTTTGTATTACGATTACAACTGGTAAGAGCGTAGGGATGAAAACAAATGAGACAAGAAGGGCCATACCGAGACAGAAGGTGCCATCCCTAGCTACATCTTGTTTCATGTGTACGTACGTATGTGTGATACTTCTCTCTCGAAATTATTTGTACCATGTGGATGCTCAGTGGGATATATAATTATAGTGATCCATGACCTGCTGACTATTTATAAGCTGCAGGAGATCATTCCTTATACTCATAAGGTTCATTCCAATTCCACTTCTATTGCCTTTAGCAATTTGATCACTGCAATTGCAGTTGGTAGTGCCTGTGTTAGCTTACTTTTCCCTCTGCAAAACTAGGGCAACCATTTATCTTTCTCCTGTGATTTTATGAAAGTCACTGTGTGGCCTGGAGCCAGATTGTACAAAACCAAGATCCAGGCTATAAAAAGACTTGAACAGAGAAATTAATAAGACATTTCAATTACAAGAATATTTACACCCAATCAGAAAGGAAGAGCAAAATTAAAATCAAAATGCAGAGTAGTGTTCGGAATCGTGTGTGGAAACTCCAACGACAAGGTACAGTGTAATAGTGAAAACATATTCCACAGCAATACATATGGCAATAACTAGAGAAGCAATCATAAAAACAAAATTTTCCATGCAATAAGACTGTAATTGTAGAAGGTATCAAACTGAGACCTTAAAAAGTTATTTTGTTCTGTAAGTCCTGTTTCTACACTCATTACCACTTCCTTAGCCTGCAGACCTTCACTAAGGTATACTGGAGCTGCAAGCACCCCAAGTGGAAAAACAACAACCCAAATGCCTATGATATCTTTAAGGATATAAATGTAGTGGAGTGGATTGGAAAGTAGTCTGTTTACTAGTATTGAATAACAGGATAAAATTGCTCTTGAACTTCTCAACTCCCATGAGAAATACTCAACTCTGATAGCAGTGTTTATGTGTTCCAGAGCAAGCTTAAGGTAGATACGTGTTGCAGAATGATTGCTTCCCATCTCATAGTAACTTGCAGCAATAATATATTCGGGTTTAAATTTAAGCACTGTGTAGGGCTCTCCCAGTTTATCAATGTACGCACAGCTTTGCTCCCCGGCCCATATTGCCAGATGGTAACATTCTGTGTCATAGGCCTCCTGTGCCTGTTCTGCACAGTGAGTAGCACATATGAAATGACATCTAGTCATTAGACCAGGTTGCTCCTCTGTTATGAGATAATTTTTTGCAAAAACCTTCATCCATTAAAATGATTTCCTCTTTTCAAAGACACAATACAGTTACTTTCAGTGCATAGCACTGCATTGTAGATCATTCTGTTCTGCAGTTGAACCACTTGTTTTTCCATACTCTTGGCTCTGAAAAATTCAATGGCAAGATAATATACTTCCTCCAAGTATTCAGATCTATTAGCAGTCATTAGATAAGGGTATATTTGTCATCGGTTATAGTGGCTGAAAATGTTTGTGCTTCAGTCGTGTCATTTCCCACTGATGTATTAGAGTAATCATTGTACAAATCAAGAATTAGCTTTGCATGCTCCATCCCATCTAAAGAGTGTAACTGGTACTGGTACGCAAGTTGCCTAAAGTCAAATGCCTGCATTCTGTCTTTTATGTTATCGTATGCAATAGTCACAATCTGGGCTAAAATGTGTCAGCTGCCCATGAATGGTAGTAAGAATATGTGTGTGGCACCTAGTTGACTTTACCTTGTCTTCGATTTCTTTGTAGTACCATGCTAGTACATTGTAGAAGTTTGTGAACTCACTGACAGATATTTGTCTCTCCTGATATCCCTTGTCAACTATATTATTCCTTCTTGATGCCATGGTTTTTATTGCACCCATTTTACTTACCAACCACTGCTGCTCAGCAACCAGTTTTATCACCTTAATGTATGTTGTCAGGAATGATAAGGCCGTTCGTGAGGTTTGTAGGAGTCTAGAGCTGCCAGCATTTTCAGACTAACTCTAGTCACTTCCACTGGCAGAAATCTCAACTGGAAAACTCTCGTTCCCATTGCATGTAATGCCACCCGGATCCCACTGAAAGTTATGTTCACGTGCCTAGCTATTTCGAATAAGGTGAACATGTGGTTAATGTTGTGTTAATTTAAAGTCTTGTCGTAATTTGTGACTATTTTAGTCAAGAGTACGAGTAAAGTAGAGTTGGAACTGAGTGTCAAAATGATGTTGAAGTGCTGTTCCTTCACCTTCTTGACTCATAAAGAACTTCTTGAGTAGTTGGTGAAAATAATACCTCTGTCTGCCATGACTGGACTGTAGCAGTGACCTTTGCACTAATTCGTTTAACATTTCTTTAGTGGATGAAAAGATAAATGCGGCACTTTCTATATCAAAGCTTCCTGGAAAATGGGAGAGATTAACACACAGCAGCTTCAGTTCTGGTGTCAGATAACTATAAGAAATACCAATTGATACATCGACTTTAGAAAGTAACTGAGCTGGACTTAATGTTTGAAGTGGGTGACTTTTTAGGCCTTGTATTATAATATCATTGGCTGTAGGAGCATCCGGAATTTAAAGATAGCCGCAACTACATCCAGAGCCAGTGGAACATTTCCTGTCAGATCTGCTATTTTCCTCTTTTGGTCATCTGTTAAACTAGGAGCTACTCTACCTAACATTTTGATAGCCATCTCGGATGAGAGATTATAAATGGCATGGAGTCGAAAGTTGCCAATGTCAGGTACCTTACACTTTTCGTGGGTGATGCAAGTGTCAATGCCTTTATGGCTTTCCAAAATTCTTCTTCCGTGTATTCGAGGAGCTCATCACAGTTGTCTAGTATTATGAATATTGCTTCTGTATCTTTTGCTCTAAATCACTGAATGTTACCTTAGTCTCTTACAGGACTCAACCATACTGAGTAAAATCTTCTCAGCAAGAGTATCTATATCTTTAACCATTTTTTGCCCAACATCTACAAAATGAACACTGACCAATTTCCTTACGAATACTTCCCCAATTTTCATGGCCAGAGTGGATTTACCGAACACAGGAGGTCCAACAATGTGAACTACCTGAACATCTGAGGTGTAGAAGTCAAGGTAGCCAGTGATGTTGCAAATGTCTTCCACTCGACCGACAAAATGACTCACAGATGGCAGACTCTTTGAGTGGCAGAGTCCCAGCTGGTAGCAGTCGGTGTTAGACCACACCACAGCTAATAATGCGATTAGAATGGAGACAGTGAGTATGGTTATCCAAGAAGTAAGACAATCTGGGCAGACAAATTTTATCAGCACATTACACACAAGAGATTGATATACTTACCTTGATGGTGTGTTTCATCAGATGTAGAGCCACTGTTTGGGACTCATCTAAAGGGAGTAATCAAGGTTAACTTATTCATGATCAATAAACATTTTACACCTTACAACCAGATACCCATGTCCATGAATACCAAGATACCTGTGTGTGGGCTATGAATACCAAATGAATGTCAGCATTTCTAAAGTATGTGCCAATTTGCAAGACACAGTTTAGTTTGGTTAGCGTATCATCAGTATATAGCCATTATCAGCATGTTAGCTGTACCTTGTACAAGTGGAAAAATCTTTTCTTCAAAATGAAAGTAGGATATAGGGATGACTTGAAGCACCAAAAAGGAAGAAACAAGGGGGCATTACACACCAAATATGCACAAAGCCACATGACACCATCCCTATATCTTTGTCTCATATTAAACTTTGCCTATGAACAATAAAACAAAGATAATTATAGGGATGGTGTCATGTGGCTTTGTGCATATTTGGTGTGTAATGACCCCTTGTTTCTTCCTTTTTGGTGCTTCAAGTCATCCCTATATCCTACTTTCATTTTGAAGAAAAGATTTTTCCACTTGTTTCCACTATTTTTAACAGCTTATATGACAACACTGCATTTTCAGTCACTCTGATGTTCATGGGTATGTTGTAGAGATAACTGTTGAAAGCAGAAGCTAATGGACTGCTCTTACCTGAAGCAGTGTCTCCAACAAGGACGCGATTAGGTTGTGGCACATATGGTGGTGGTTTAATTGGGCAGGCTTCAGAAATCAGACTACAATGATAGCTATAACCTGGGGGACAAAGAATGAAGGCGCCTGGCAAGGCACGGTGCAGATTGCCAAGTTGCTCCTCGTGCAAATCAACAGCAAAACGCAAGCTAGCCACTTACAAATGTGCATACTGACTTACAGAAGGCACTGGAGGATGAGAGTAGTTTTCTCTGAAGGCATCCATTCCTGGCTTAGTCTCGTTCGTGGACCAGACAAAATGCGCGCGCACCGCATTGGTAACGCCCTCCTAGGCGCATGCGGCTCACTGATGCTGAGTTAGCAACAAATGGCGTTGTTCAGTGACTACCGAGGAAGAACTCAACGATCTACCGTAGTGACTTGCGGCAAGAAATAAACGATCGCTTGATATGCATGCACACCTCCGGCAAATTCGGAGACGTTCTGGGAAAAATCTACGCTTCAAGTGCTTCCGGTAAGGAGCTAGCGGGTCTGAAGAAGAAGAAGAAGAAGAAGAAGATGAAGAATATGATGATGACACGAAAATCGTGAAATCGCGTATGAGCGAATTCTCGCGTGGACGACTGAAGGTGCGTATGAGGTCTTGGGGGGCATGTATAGGTAGATATGGGCCCGTAGACTATTGCTAGTATGTTTTGAAGGCCTAGGGAGTGATTCTCACCGAGATTTTAGTCACTTTGTACGCGGATCACGTGAGATTTCACCCGTGTCGTACCTATATAGAGAGTCTACCTGCTAAAGCACAGAGGTATATAGCTTATTGCCAAATGAAAAATCCACAAAATTTTCAACACTTTGCTACCGAGAGATACGTTTTAGTCAGTGACACTGACTATCAGGGACAAAATAAAGTACACACGTGTAGTTAACCCTCGGCGCGCATGCGCAGCGAGGGTTTCTGTAGTTGGGTTTGTCTGTGTGTACGTGTGTGTGTGTGTGTGTGTGTGTGTGTGTATATGTGTGTGTCTGTTACTCTACATCTCACCTCTCGAATGTCTGTTCGTCCCAGAAACGATACCATCTACCCAACGGGCGACGAAGGTCAGAATATATGTGGCGTTTTCTCTAAAAAATGTTCCGTGCAGAGCTAGAGCGCTTCCAGCATTGTATGGCTAATGCCGGTAGTCGCCATTTTATCGCTGGCGGATAATGCGCATGCGCTTATAGGCTTACGTCGACCGGGAATGCCGTGTATCGACTCTCACGTTCTATCTACTACTGTAGCTAGCCCGTGTCAGACTCTCTGCGAGCTACTTCGCCGAGGGTTTGCACTTTAGTGCTTTTCATTGGGTGTGTCTGTGTGTCTGTCTGTTACTCTACATCTCACCTCTCGAACGTCTGTTCGTCCCAGAAACGATACCATCTACCGAACGGGCGACGAAGATCAGAAAATATGTGGGGTTTTCTCTGAAACTGCTTCGTTGCAGAGCTACAGCGCGAAAAAGCCAATATTCGAGATAGCTTATCACGGTCTGATCGATCCGCGTGCTCTGCGTATATACCTTAGAGGCACCAGAAGATGCAACGCAGGGTGTGTATCGCCTCTCGCATGCTTTCTAGTAGTGTAGTTAGCCCGCGTCAGACTCTGCGCGAGCTGGCAAGAGACAGCTAAAGCTAAACCCAGCCCATCAATTAGTGGTACGGCGCATGCGTTTACTTACGCGTGCGCGTCACAATGCGCCGAGGGTTTGCACTTCAGTGCTTTTCATTGGATCAAGTAGTAAGTACAGTCCAAACATTTTTGGCCTGAGGTTTTTGTCAAAATTGTCCTTACTATAGTTGAAAAGTGAAACGTACCACATATTATTGTTGGGGGGCAATGTTTACTTTCGATCTTATCTGCCAAACCAATTAGTCGAATAGTGGGGTGCCTCAGGGAGGTTAGAATGACTCTCCAAGTAGGTATGGGGTCCACTTGTTTGACAAATTCGTCAATGACACGAAACAGGCAATCTTCTGGATCCTTGTACTGTTTATGAATTCCAGACACCCTGGAAGGTGACAACTTGAGTACACGACCTAGCAGCTCTGATTTAGTTTGGGCGTCCAGTATGTTTGCAACTAGCTATCTCCGGAACATCATCTTGCAGCAATCGTTTGTCAAGGAAGTCTGGTGTAGTACCTGCTGTAGGATAGCAAAGTGCTGACCATGACGTAAGCTACAGACTATATCTCCTACCAGTTGCCATTCTTGGTGGTCTGTGAACGAGAGCAGCAGGCGAAGAGTTTGTTTACAACGGGGTGGGGGGTGGGGCCGGTCGAATCGGGGGGCGGGGCTCTAGGCATCATGCGCGCGGTTCTGTGAATTAGACGTAAACCATGGAAAGATCCTCTTGATCGAGGAAGCTATAGAGTATCTGTTACACCAGTCGTAATGGAATTGCTAAACCATTCAAGGCTATAGTTATACATCCCTAAGAGGTATGTTGCCGGTTTATAGGCCCCGTGACCCGAGGGCGCGTAGCGCCCGAGGGCCTAGTGGGGGAGGGCCTATAAACCGCAACATACCGATTAGGGGTGTGATAATTGATTTATAGCCGGTGTTGCTAGGTGGTTCGACGTCATCCCTAGCAACAAAGCGCGCGCTTTTCCGTAACATCTCGTTGCGCTCGGGAGGTCTCATTGTTTGCCTGATTACCAATGAAACCACAACGATGTGCAATAATCTATGTTCATCCTTGTTGAAGACAATACATGAGGTGAATGCGGTATCTAGCCCCTGCTTCAGGCCCCATTAGCTATATACTACTTTCAACAGTTACAATTTTTTTATGGTAGCCTATCTACAACATACCCATGAACATCAGAGTGACTGTAACAATATAAATGCAGTGTTGTCATAAGCTGTTAAAAATAGTCGAAACAAGTGGGAAAAAACTATAATTATCTTAGTTTTATTGTTTATAAAATATCAAACAAAGATATAGGGATGGTGTCATGTATGTTTGTGCAACTTTGCTGTGTAATGACCCCTTGTTTCTTCCTTTTTGGTGCTTCAAGCCATCCCTATATCCCCCTTTCATTTTGAAGAAATGATTTTTCCACTTGTACAACAATTATCCAGTGCACGATTATCATATTATTATAACTGTGAAATTCATCAAATTGAGACCACATGAAGGAATGTTTATGTTCTGTCAGACCATTTTCTGTGCTTAGAAAACTTTCCTCTCGCTGAAAAAAAGTTTTCCAGAATGAAAAATGGCACTTTTGCACAAGCGATGGGCAATAAAATTACAATTTCAAGTGTAACGTCGTTAATAAGATGAATGTAGAATAGTGGATTACATGCCCAATTCATTCGTATGGTATAACTGCATAAGTCTGTCCTTGTTACTCTCAACTTCAAAGAGAAGTATAGTTCAATCTGATGGCATCATTGATACGCTAAGTTGCAGAATAATTGCTTCCAATCTCATAATAACTTCTACCAACAATAATTATACTCCAGTTCACAGTTCTACAAACTGGTAGGCTCATCCTAGTTATCAAGGTACGACCAATCTTAAAACTATAGTGCTCCCCAGCCCATATTGCCAGATGGTGGCATTCTCTGTCGTAGGCCTCCTGTGCCTGTTCTGCATAGTGGGCAGCACATATGAACTCACATCTATAGCTGTTAGAGCCTCAGTAGGTATATTCCCATCAATGACTTTAGACATACAATAGATTCACATTTCTCAGAGATCTATCGCAGTTTATTTCACTACTATTGATCATTCTTTTTTGCAGTTCAACTACTTGGTTATCTGAGTTTTGTGCATGTGATACCATGAGAAAAAGATGTGTGTATACTTTCTGGACAGCTGTTTCGGGCCTCATCAGCAGAGCATACCCAACTTCTCTCTGGGCATAACAAGTTTAAGCTGCCATGTGAGCGCAGCACTTGTGGTTTTGAACTAATGAGATTCATCCCCACAAGGCTTTGCCACTGGTATGTGCTGACCCTGCCTAGACTACTCCCTGATACTGGGATCATCACCTGTTATGAATGCATGCATGCAGATCTGCATATGCATACATTCAGGACACGGTATATAGGCGATGATCCCAGTATCAGGGAGAAGGAGTGCAGGTCAACTGAGGTCTACCGCAGTATTCAGAGATGGTCAGTGGCATCTCACAGACTTAGTGTTAGAGTTCAGAGGAAGAACAGAGAAACTTGTTATTTTAGACAAAAACATTGAACAATAAACAATTTTTACAACCAATCAGTGATAATCATAATTAATGCTATACGTAGAATAAAATACTTTCTACGGATAATGTATGGTAAAATATAATTGTAAAAACACAGAAAGTATCCATAATATAACATTAAAGTCCCGAAACATAGTAACACAAAGTGAAATACAACAATTATCCACTGCACAATTATCATATTATTATAACTGTAAAATTCATCAAATTGAGACCAAATGAAGGAATATTTATGTTCTGTCAGACCATTTTCTGTGCTTAGAAAACTTTCCTCTCGCTGAAAAAAGGTTTCCCAGAATGAAAATGGCACTTTTGCACAAGCGATTGGCAATAAAATTACAATTTGAAGTGTAACGTCGTTAATAAGATGAATGTAGAATAGTGGATTACATACCCAATTCATTCGTATGATATAACTGCATAACTCTGTCCTTGTTTCTCTCAACTTCAAAGAGAAGTAGTTTAATCTGATGGCATCATTGATATGCTTTACAGCCTGCTTAAGTGAGATCAGTGTTGCAGAATAATTGCTTCCAATCTCATAGTAGCTTCTACCAACAATATACTCCAGTTCAAATTTAAGCACTGTGTAGGGCTCTCCCAGTTTATCAATGTATCCACAGCTCTGCTCCCCGGCCCATATTGCCAGATGGTAGCATTCTCTGTTGTAGGCCTCCTGTGCCTGTTCTGCATAGTGAGCAGCACATATGAAATCACATGTAGCTGTTAGAGCCTCAGGTAATATTCCCATCAATGACTTTAGACGTTCAAATAATTTTCCCATTTCTCAGAGATCTATCGCAGTTTATTTCACTACATGGAACTGAATTATTGATCATTCTTTTTTGCAGTTCAACTACTTGGTTATCTGAGTTTTGTGCTCTGAAAAAGCGAACGGCAATAAAATATAACTCTTTTTGATATTCAGATTTATCAGCAATCATGAGATAATTGTACATATTATTATCTTCGGTTATTTTGCCCGTCAAATTATTTGCCTTAAGGCTCTCATTTTCGCGTAAATAATCATTGTACAAGTCTAGAACGAGCCATATTTGGTTAACGCAGTTTAAAGAACATATCTGATGTTTGTATGCGAGCTCTCTGAAACGAAATCCATTTTTCTGTCACCAATAACCTTATATGCTACAGAAATATCGTAATAGTTACATTCTGGGTAACAGCGTGTTAGTTTGCCGTGGATGGTTTTAAGAACATGTGTGTGGCACCTTGCTGAATTAACAGTGTCCCCATTCTCTTCATAGTACTGTATCAACAAACTGTAAAACCTTGTGAAGGTGCTAGTGAAAATCTTGCGTGATTTATGACCTTCATTAACTCTTTCTTCTCTTAGGGTCAATGTTTCAATTGCATTTGTTTTACATATAGTCCACTGCTGCTTAGCAACCAATTCAACTAACCTAATGTATGTATCAAGAAATGGGTTTACCATCGCTTGCTCAGCAAGTGTGTAGAGGTCCAAAACAGCTAGCAGGTCTTGAGAGATATTATTAATTTCAGCTGGGGAAAATCTTAATTGCAACACATTTAATTCAATGGCTCGCAATGTTGTTCTAATTCCATTGAAAGTAACAGTCTTGTTTTTGGCTCTTTTGAACAAACTAAACATGTGGCAAATGTTCTGTTTTTCCTCATCAAACCTAGTTAGCTTTGAGCCATCAATGTAGTCAGTAATAATGCTCTGAAGAACGGCAGTAAAGTAAGACTGAAACTGAGTATCAAAATGTTGTCGAAATGAAGTCCGATTTTCTTGACTAAGAAAGAATGTTTTAATTAGTTGGTGAAAGTGGTATCTCTGTCTACCATGACTAGATTGCAGAAGAGATCTCTGCACCAGGTTAGCAAGGTTGGGTCTAATGTCTGTATCAATGTCAAACAAGAAGTAAGTACTGGCTTCATCAAAACTCCCTTGGAATATGGGACAAGTTTACACATAACTGCTTCAGTTCAGGAGAAAGGTAGCTATAAGCTATACGAATGGACACATCAACCGTGGAATGTAGCTCAGTAGGACTTAGTGTACGAAGTAGATGTTCTTTCAGGCCATTTATCACCATTTCTGGTGTGGGAGCATCTGGAAACCTGAAGATGGCTCCAATAACCTCCAGTGCTAGTGGAACATTTCCTGTCAGATCGGCTATTTGCTTTTTCTGATCATCTGTTAAACTAGGAGCTACTGCACCCAATAGTTGGATAGCTGCTTCACACGAGAGGTTGTAAATGGCATGGAGTCGAAAGTTGCCAATGTCAGCTACCCATTTTTGGCTAGTAAGAAGATACCTCACACGTTTTTGGGACAGAGCAGTTAATGACTTTAATGCACCAGAAATTCCTCCTTTGAATGCTCCAAAATCTCATCACAGTTGTCTAGTATTATTAATGCTTTAGAATATTGCTTGCGTATCTTTTCCTCCAAATCACTGAATGTTACCTTAGTCTTACGGGACTCAACCATACTGAGTACAATCTTCTCAGCAAGAGTATCAATATCTCTAACCATTTTTTGCCCAACATCTACATAATGAACACTGACCCATTTCCGTAAGAATATTTCCCCAATTTTCATGGCCAGAGTGGATTTACCGAACCCAGGAGGTCCAACAATGTGAACTACCTGAACATCTGAGGTGTAGAAGTCAAGGTAGCCAGTGATGTTGCGAATGTCTTCCTCTCGACCGACAAAATGACTCACAGATGGCAGACTCTTTGAGTGGCAGAGTCCCAGCTGGTAGCAGTCTGTGTTAGACCACACCACAGCTAGTAACACAATTAGAATGGAGACTCCAGTGAGTATGGTTTTCCAAGAAGTCAGCCAATCTGGGTATACAATTTTATAGAGTGTATCACACATCATTAGTAGTAGTTCAGACTCACTGTTGTGGTTTGTTGAAGATGTACGGGAACCATTAGTGATATCCTTGAATTCATCTACAGGGAAAAGTCTTGAATGGTATTCATTGCTCAACAAACTACTCATGTGACTGGGCAGTGCTGTGTAATGCCAGCCCACAGAAATGGCCACTAATGTTACTCGAGTTTTTAATAGTGTAGTGTGAAGCTTAAGACTGGCAAAGGAATTTTGTAGAGAAAGCAGCATTGTAAAACTGGTTAGTTGAGCAAACATTGAAGTCATAGACTATAAAATTTG